TGTTATAAAGTGCCCTCATCTACCCAGGGTAGGGGTTCCCCAGCTACATAGCCTACATTGCCACCAGTTTTTTTGTTAGCAATCATCACACCATACCTTCGTTTGTGGATTACTTACCAGGTGTTTTGTTCTTGGTAAAAAAAAAAAAAAAAAATTTTTTTTTTTTTTTTTTTTATTTTTTTTTTGTACATTTACAGAAAGTACAAAACATTATTTTTACATGAAATCTTAATTTCACCACTTAAAAATTCATGAAAACATTACATGACTGGCATCATTATCTGTATGAACACAAAATTTATTAAATTTGATATGAAACTATCTTCAGGGTAGATGTATAAGCTGTTATTAAATGTAAAGGGATATCGTGTTTATGCTTGGGTTCCATTCTCAAGTTGCTTCATTTTATAGATGCTCTATACAAATTAAATAGCCTGTATTTCAAAATTAAAAAAAAAAAAAAAATTTAGAAACCAAAGCACTTCTGGTTCAAAGAAATTTGGATAAATGATTCTCATCCTGTATTGTGGTATTTCCTGTTCTTTCCAAACCATGCCCACTATACTTCTCATTTGCAAACATCTTAATTTATTCTATTGGATTGTATTAAACTATTTTTGTTTCAGATCAATGAGGAAATTCTTGAAATCCCTTTGAAGCTTACATGATACTTGACATATGATTTTTCAATGACTCCTGCTGTCACTGGTTAAGAGTTCTCCTTGAACTTGGGTTTTAAAGGGGATCATAATCTTATCCATTTCGAGGGATGAGTTATCACCTTTAAAATTCTTATACCAGTCTTTGGGAAGTACAGTCACATAATGCTTAATTTCTTCCCATTTCCAAATTATTCAAACTACGTTTGAGGCTGGGCTTAAAATTTCTCAATACCGTATTTGCCATTATAACATCTGAAATGAAAAGACACATCAGAAAAATATTTGATATTATATAATGTTATTTGCACTATTCACATTATTTGGACTGTTGTCCTCATCTTTATTTCCATATTCATGATGTTTCAGCCACTGTATGCTCCAGCTTTCTTCAGGGGATTGGAATTTCAAACTGAACTCTTTATTTCATCCACTGGGGTAGATTGTTCTAGTTCCATGTGCCATGTCTCTTCCAGATGTCTCTGTTAATTACAATACCTCATCTCAGAAATATAGACAGATATATAATGTTAATAATATAGTACTGTCATAGATAATCTTAGATGTATATGGAACAGTTGTTGAGGTAAAATCCCCAATAATTTTAACGTTCTATCTCACTGGGTATTTATTTAGTAGATTTTTTTCATATCCGTTTACTTGTGCCAATTTAGTGACTGCATTCATCTCTTACCCTCAACTTTTAATAGAATAACTGTTTTAGGAACTGACTAAATGCAAATCTTTGAAGGAACAAATTTTCATTTCAATGTCATTTTCCTTTTCTGTGGCAAAACAATTCAACATAGCTACAAACTGAAGGGAATCAGAAATAAGTTTGGATTCTGTTTGGAAAGGGAATTAACCATTAAATAAATAAAATAAAAATGCTTGTCTGTCTCTGCTTGTCTCAAATGTTTGCTTTTTTATTTTTATAAATACACTCCATTTTCCTTTGTAAAATGATTTTTCAGGTTAAATTTTATAGTCAAGTTGGTGGATTGTATTTCTCTATCATTTCCAACATTACGTGTATTTCTGAAACTTTTTTTTTTTTAAAACAGATTGCTTAGTTACAGTGTCTTGTCTTAAATCGAAAGATAAATTTCATTTGGAAAGCTTCTTTTCTTTTTTTTATGATATTCACTAAACAATGTTGATTATAGTTTTTTTTTGGGGGGGGTTCAAGTAATGACTCTTTCCTAGAGGGTGACGGGTCTCTGTCTATGCTTTTGATGTTCAAGGTCATGTCACTGCGAAAACAAACTGCTGATTAGCAAGCAGGCTCTACTCATGGGAGGGGAGTATGACACAGTCTTTTTAATAATTCTCATCTGGTTGTGTGTTAGGCTGAATTAAGATTAAGAAACCTTTTATTTTCACCTTTGTTTGGCATTGAACCTAACAAATTTCATTTTTGATTTATTTTTAAAACCAAGAATAGCTTCTTAATGTTTTTAAGGACCCCCTAGAACAAAAAAGATTAACTTATTTTCATAAGTCATTTTCATTTATTGCCTGGCAACAGTTTTACACTGCCTGCCAAGATGGCTGTTTTTAAATAAGACTCCATAAACAAGTATGTTAAAGGGGAATTGGGGAAAATAAATGCTTTGAAATTTTTGCCCTGAACTGCTAAGGTTTAATTTTACTCTTCTCTTTAATCTCTCTCCTCTCTTTTACTATCGTATTTCTTTATCCTTTCTTGCCAGATCCTTTCTTGTGTTTGTTTGCATGCTTCTAACCACTATGCATTTTTTTTGTTCCTCTTTATTGTCCATTTAGTCTCTGCCCAACCTACATGTTTGTTTCTAATCTAATTTTAATTGAAAGATAGACTTGCAAGCATTTGTGCATACATGTTAAGTCTTATGTGACAAAAAAAAAATACTTTGACAGAAGTCATGTAGAAATCAATTCTTGAAAATCAGTTTGTAACCAATGAAGAAGAAACACAAAGAGTATTTTTCTTTCAAGCAAATAGTTACTGACATTTTTTTTACATTAAAAATATGTGCCTTGGCTTTGCAAATAAAAATTAGGACTATGATGACATTCTTCATCTGTTGCTTACTTGCTGATGACTGACAAAGTTCTCTGCTGCTGCAGGAGGTCTAGCAAATGGATGGAAACTACAGTTTTGTGATATTACCTCTCTTTAGATTAATACCTGATTATGATCTTTCTTCACTTGTATCTCAACTTGTTAAACATGCTATCCACCAAATACATCAGATAAATCTCCATATGTGCAAATTGTAATAAGTTCATTCTGAAGAGGGTTTTTTTTTTGTTTTTTGTTTTTTTGCTGGTTCTATACATAAAGACAAAATGTATAGAGATGTCGAATAAGAACACACACTAGTGGTGAACTTAGTGAGGATTGAACTCACTATTTCCACTCCTTCTACAAAGGAAAGGCCCAACAGAACATTTGCAAAATGTTTCTCTCTTGAGATGACACAGCAACAAATGGATTATTTGCAAAAGGACTTCTCTGTTAAAAAGCAAATAAATTTCTTACTCTTTGTTTTTCTTATTTTTGTAAACTTTTGATCTGTTTGTGATTTGTTTGTATTTAAAAATGTTTGATTATTTCACCAATTGTTCTTTTTGTCTCTTTCTCTTGGCCTGTTTCTTTGCATTCAATAATTGTTGCTTTTTATCTTTCCTGGAAAATACTTCCAAATCTGTAGCCTCCTCCCTGCCCTTTCACACTGTTCCTCTTTGCTTCTATGTCAATGTATTTAGTATTTTCTTAAATCTGTGAAAAAATTTACAGCATTATTTTATTTAAAAGAAAAGAGAAAAAAAATGTCAATTTTACACTTTCTCACGTTAATGTATTGTTGACGTTGACATCACATGCATGAACAATAAAAGCTATCTACAAAACTCAAACCATGTTTTTGAAAACTCATTTCAATGTTCACAATTTGATTATTTTTTCAACAATATGGTGCTAACCACCTAAATTTGAAAGGTTATCCTGTGTTAGTTTATGTAATTTCCATAAATTTATAATTAAATTGGTTGAATTTATGAAATTATTTTGATCTACAATTTTCCATGGTCTTCCAGCCAAAATGAAATAAAAATTTTAATTATAAAATCTGATTATAATGTGAATTTTGAAAATATAAAACATATTAAAAAATTGAAACGGTTATTGAATAAAAATAATTGTTAAATAGTTTCAGGTAAATATTGAAACTAATAAAACAAAAGATGATAATAATTGTTTAATATGCTTTTAGATAAAAATTAAACCCATAAAATATCAAATTCTTATTGTTTGAATAAAATCAAGAGATAATTTAATGTGAGAAAGTGCAAGATTGCCAAAGAAATGTTTTCTATTATGTATTCAGTCTCTAGTTATTATAAAAAAAAAAAAAAGCAAAGACTGGGAACTTTTTGCACACACCTGAGATAAACCTATCAAACACTGGAAAAGCTATTTGTACATTTTAATAAATAAGTAATAACTAAGACTTATCATAAAGACTTGAGATAAGTACATTCATCTTTGTTGTTTTGATCATTGTTTTCATAGGTGGACTTTTTTTTTTCGTCTCCTCCAGTTTAAATTTCTATTTGTTGAGATTAAGAGATATTTTATGTGTACCTATGAAAATTTTGAGAGCCCAATAAGTGAAACAATGGTGATCAGGCATGATTGTTCATAAATGTAATAAATCAACTTTTTATTTCCAATCCATCTGGCTGACCAATTGACCATTTGTTGATGTATCTTGAAGCTCTACAATGAAATACAAAATAGAGGGACAACAATGACTAAAATCTTGACCAGTGCAAATCTTGATCATCTATTGTCATATATTTTGGATGGCTGCCTTGACATGTCCAATTCAGTTTGTATCAGCATTAGCTGTTCATTATGTTTCCACCGGGTTTTCAGTGATTTCTTTTCAAACACGACTCTCTGTCGGAGACAGTAACATGCAACTCTTCTCGTTGGAAATGGCACTGAGCAATTAACTTTGTGAAATCATAAAATTTTGCTTGTTCTTCATTTAATCTCTGTTTGTGAATCAGTTTAAACTAAAGAATAAGCAATCTGAAAGATACAAGTAGTATATCACAATGGTGCTGTTTTGGTGAGACTCAATAGGAATGGAAACTTATCATTTTCATAAAAATGCTAGGTTAGTATTAACTGAATTTAATAGAAAGTGAGACCCTCATTTTAATGTAAAGAGTTTAAAAGGAAAAGTATTAAGTAACATCCATGATGAGGATGCTAGTCTGTAAAAAAAAAAAAAAAAAAAAAAAAAAAAATATATATATATATTGGTGACACTTTTGTTGTTCTTTCAGATTTATAAATCTACAAAATGTAATGACATGGTCCAGACCAGTTTCTGCCCTCGAGGCCCTTTCTGTGCATTTGCTCATGTTGAACGTAAGTACTCTTGACAAAAGGACAGTCTTGATCACTATATGTGTAGCTTTTTATGTAAACAGATGCTTGTTGTTCTTGATTCATTTAACAATCATTTGGTAGGAGCAGGATGCAGGTGGTGGTGGGAGATGTGCCCCTGTCTCCAGGTTTGTAAGAGTAACAAGTTTTGTTTACCATACTTTCACTTATGCTGTTTATGTTTTGTGTGTTATTTTTTGTTAGTTATGGGAAAGATAGACTTGCAAGCATTTCTGCATACATGTTAAGTCTTATATGACAAAAAAAAAAAAATTACTTTAGTCATGTAGAAATCAATTCTCAAAAATCATTATTTGTATTTATCTGATGAGTTTCATGAAAGTTTTGATCCCACTAAAAACAGGAATTCCTAAAAGGAATGACAATCTTGGCAATTAAATGGTTTTCTCCTCAGATCATCAATGCCAACTAAATTTGCTGTGTTTTTTTTATGATCCAGATAATGTTGAAATTACAATCGGATTATTATAGAGAAGAACCTGTAATTAAGGCTTTTATCCTTTTGAAATTAGTTTTTCTCTTTTATTTGTGCCATTGGTTTATTCTTCCTGTTAAATAATTGCTACAAACATATACACTGCAAAAAGAGGAAGATAGAATCTGTTAGAAAAATAAAAACTTAACAAATTAGGAAAAGGTAAAGAATGTTTTACTAAAATTCTTTATAAATTTAAAAATATTTTGTACTGATTTCATAATCAGGTATCATGTAATAAGTTTCTTGTTTGATTCTTGGCTATAATTTCCCTAGGAGTGAAAGATGTTTCTTGACCTCTCAGGTAATCTTCAAAAATCAGTTCATATTTCCCTCCCATTTTCATTTCTAATAATAAAAATGTATTGTATCAAATGTTCGTACAAGACCATTTGAAAACTTTAAGCTATGTGATTTCATTGTTTACCCGTCTATAACAAGACCCATTAATTTTTGATAAGCGGAAATATTTTCCACTCTTTTCTTCTTTTAATGCTGCTGAAATGCCATCTTCACATTCAGTTCAATCTCATCTTAAAAGTTTTTTTTTTTTTTTTTTAAATTGTTTTTTCAAATCAAGAAATAATCTCTTTTGGCCTAAATCAATTTCTGGTCCAAGTTGGTCAATCCTAAATAAATCCATCATCAGATTACCCTATCTGTTTGTGACAGAACAAGTCTACTGAACTATGGTATGGGAGGGAGGTGAAATCCTGAAATTCATTAATATTTCTTGAAGTAAATCAACAGGTCCCTCTGTTTTTGTTTTTTTTTTTGGTTCTGTAATTCTGTTAGCATTCCAAATTTAATTCTTGGCCCTCAGTTGTTGCTACTTTGCTATTTATTGACTTTGTTGTTTTTTGGGGTTTTTTTTTCTCCAGAGGAGATGACTGTGCAGAGAGAGATGAATGTCTCCACAGAGAATTCTTTAGCAGCATTTGTAACTAATGCCTTACCTCAGTCAAGTAACAATATAGGAATGTCTGATGGTGAAGGGATGCTGCTACAGAATCAAAAGGTAAGACTGTGCACCTGTGCCCGTACTCACCCACACACTTTCTTCTTCCTCCATTTCAGCCTTGATTTGATCTTTCTGCTTTTTCTGTTTCAGATGAGTTTTGATCTTTTTATAAAATATGTATGCAATATGAAACCAGTAGTAAAGACTTTTTGTACCTCTATACAATGGAAGTGAGAAATCAGTCTCCTTCAGCTTAATTCATTATTAAGAGAAATTATCAGAATTTTTAAGATGAGGAATTTATTATTATTATGACATGCCTTATTGTTTGAACCTGCAGGCTTATCTTGTTTATTATGCACACAACATTTTGGTTTATTCTACTCTCCAGACATCTTTTTGTATTTAGTAACTTTAAAATTTCAAAGGCTTAAACATTGAAACACTGATTTCCATACAATCACCAATGTTAAGCAACATCAAGCCTGGTCAATACCTAGATGGGTCACCACTTGGGATTACCAGGTGGTGTAATGGATAATGGCTCGGAATTGTTAATCCAAGAGCCGAATTTCAATTCCAGTTGGGTTCATTATGTTCACTTAACATACCCTTATGAAAGCTATGAATCTGCCTCTTCTCCCCACCAGCTATGGGTTAATTAGTAAGATTTCCCTCACTAAACCATTATCTCCCAAAATAAAAAAAATTCTTACAATCTAAAAATATTTTTGGACTTTAAATAACCTGCAATGGGTTAAGCTGTAAAAAAAAAAAAATCAATTTAAAATTTCAAATCACCCTCTTTATTCAATTCACAAGAGTAGATGAATCTCATTCTGCTTTCATCCTTAGGGGATATTTCATATCACAATACTCACATGGAACCACAAATAATTTGGTAGAATAATTACACAGTGCACATGTTAAACACTCATAACATCCTCAGTAAACCTAGCATAGAGATGAATACCATATGGGATCCTCTGATTAATAAATAAAGAATACTCAAAAATTCCACCAATTGGATACAGACATTAGGTTTATATATATATATCTCCAAGAGGTACATGTTTTAGTGGATTGAATCATTGGTCAAAACTTATGTTGTGAGTTCAATCTTTAGGCATGGTACCATTGAAAAGTAATGTACTCTGGTTTAATATAAGACTAGTTAGTACTAACCGGTATGAAATATTTCCTAAACCTGGAGAGTTGAATGAGAAGAATCTAACTCGGTGTATTGAATAAAGGATTTGGTTGGAAGTTCCAAGAAAGTTACAAAGACACATGTGGAGAAAACTTGAGGGCTCTCGGCCAAAAGCAGGCTAACTTGCAGATGGGGAAGTGTCTCTACTACCTATAATCCAACCACTGCGCACCATTGCCCTCTTTCTTTTTTACTCATGTTGTTTGACTGCCAAATATTGCATAATGTATGATCTCATCTGGTTCAGTCCCACAATTTTACTGATTCACTGATAAACTGTATGAGTCTCGGTGGCTTTTAATTTAGACATATCCTGATCCTTGCTGTTTTTTAATCAATATACTCTTTGACATTTCTTGGGTGCATGATTCATCTGCCACGATTTCTTTTCTCTCCTTCTTGGTTTTAGATCCTTGCAGATAGCCAGTAAATATATTAGCCTGAATACTTTGGTAGAATAACAGCACTAACTTTTCTCAGAAATTCAGCCATGATTTGAATCTCTGTTAAAGGAACCCTCCCCCACCCTTAAAAAAAACTTTTTCTTTTCTCCAGTCTTAAATGTGGTTCCCACAAACATCTGCAATAGACTGTTGTTTTTGTTTTTGTTTTTGTTTAATGTGTCAGTTCTGCAAATCAAACACATGATAAAACTAGATCACCACAAAGGAAAGAAAAGAAACTAATTTGGACTGGGGGGAAAAGCACCAGAAATCATGTGGCCTCTGACAAGTGTAATCACAATCTTTTCCTAACAGTTACAAACAGCTTGCCACTTCAAACTAATCCTTAAATACCCACTGAACTTGTGAATATTCATCAGGCAAGAGTATTATAAGGATTCCAACTGTACATATGCACTTTGTACATTTCAAATGATTGCTAGCATGCAAAACATCAAACTCATTTTGCTTCAGGTAAATGAGTTGAAGATTTTTGACTGGATTTTCTCTTAAAATTCCTGTGTATCCCATTCAGGGATCATTGACTGTTTCTTTTAAATTACTTCTCGGTGCAATCAAACTCATTATGTAACTTTCTTAATACAAGCTCATGTAGCCATGAAGCTGGACAGCTGCATCAGCAATAGTAGCAGCAGTTATTTCATAGAATTTTTATATAGGAAACTTTTCTTGAGTTTTGAATTGTAATTTTATTTTATTTTTTTTCAGTTGTTGCTTAAATGTGACTTATTTTTGTTTTTTCTTTCCAGGAGGACACCAATTCAGTAAGTGGTAGCCATTCTCCTAAGCTCCCTGACCCAATAGGCAAAGAACGTTGTAACAGTATTTCTTATTCGGTAAGTCTTTTTTTTTTTTCTTTTTTCTTCATCTTCTGTGGTGACAAAATCATTTTTATATGTAAAAATATATTATATGTACATTAGCCAACCTTACAGGAATTCCTTTTCAAATCACAAACAAGATACAAAAAAAGAAATCTATTTTAATAAAACATGATGGTTTCCTCTCTCTGTTGCCTCAAAGCTATTAATACCAATCACATCATTTTGGTTGAACCTTAAAATGCAGTGTTTTATGACCTATCAGTATAGAATTATGCTTATCATAGCCCATATAGCAGTCAAGTATGTCAACCAATTGAGAAGAAAAAGGAAAAAAAAAATTATGCTGACAAATCTACCAAATACAATCAAGGTTTCTTTTATATATAATCATGAAAGCAAATGTAAATTTTTGAGGTATTTGTCTTCATAAATTTTAAATAATTGTTGAGGCATAGTGAAAAAGAAATTGTGATTTTCTAGGGAGATCTTTCATCTGCTCAACTGTGGAATCATGAGGCGGGTCTTATAAGAAATTTCTTTATGCTGCTTATCAATTTAGACAACAAATTGTTTTGTAGTTGGCTGAATAAACACTCCTTAATTTAATAAAAAATAATTTTTAAAAAATGATCTAAGACTGCAACATTTGGTCCTGATATTCTGGTGTTGATCTCCAAATGCAACAAATCCCTGGGGAAGTGTTTTTGCATATTTTTCATCATTCCCTCTCTGTTTTCCCATGAGACACAGTAAAAATTATATTATTTTGGTACTTTCAGCTGAATAATATTGGTAACACTAACCACTCTGCCAGTCCTCTTCCGGAACCGATTGGCAAAGGCCGTACAAGCAGCACATCAAGTAGTATAAATTCTGATTGTGGTAGTTTGGGACATTATCAGAGGGTGCCAGGCCCAACACGAGAAGATGGACAGGTAGGCTGTTATATGATCACTTTCATTTTTTTCATTAAAAAAATATTTCTATATATTGTATGTGATTAAAAACAAAGACCTGTTATCATTGGTTCAGAAAGTGTCTAAGGAAAGAGGCATCTTATCTGACCCAGTGATAAGAGGTGGGGCAAGAGATTGTTTTCTTTAGTAAATCTTGAAAAATTGTTGGAAAACTCTGCCAGTAATTTGTATATAAAGTGATCCAAGGTTCCAATGGGTTTGTGACTTTGTTGCACTTTGTCCATTAATATCTCTTCTTTCCATTTATTTGGGAGGGGTCACTAGCAGGAATACCTGACATTGCTTCTGCCCCCTTTCATCATCAGACAAGAATTACATAGTTTATTTACTTTTAAACCTTGTAAAAATCTGATTTCCTATATGTTACGCAAATCATTGAAACTATTTCTATATAATTTAGTTTATTTAGGATAATCACTCATTTATTATATTCTCAACTGAAACCATGACAAAAACCCAGCAGACAAAAAAACCCAGCAGACAAAACTTCAGCCTTTTATCCCAGAAGTGAACAAAATCCCAATCTCATAAATAAATTGGAAATTCAAAGAACTTTTAATTCAAATTTGAATGTCAAATCTAAACATTAGTAATAACATTCAATATATACACTTACACACACACACACACAAGAAAGATCAATTTATGTTATGTACTTCATGAATTTGAGTCCATTCTGTTTGCTATAGAAATTTATCTCTGTGGTTTAAGTTTTGGCACAAACCTTACAAAAGCCCCCTTTTACAACTTTCTTCAAATAAAGTCAGGCATTGTTTGATGCTAGGATTCTTCAATTACGAAATAAATCAAATATATGACTGTAGAAAAAAATTGTTAAAAAAAACTTCTTTTTTTAGAGGTTGGATCAATTTACAATGAATTTTTATAGCAAATAGGATGGACCCGTGTACTTGTGAAGTACACGACAAAGCAATCAATCTTGTCCATATAATAAGTGTATATAGTGGATGATAATATTATTAATGTCTCAATTTGACATTGAAATTCAAGGAATTTTTAATTCAATGTTAAATTTGTTTCTTTTTATATGGGAGGCTGGGATTTTGTCCTGTTATCATTCTCAACCTGCAATGAAAATTTGGGGGGGGGGGGTTAAGAAATGGTTTATGCAAATTTAGAAAGAATTTTTTAGAAATATTTTTACAGACTATTTTGAGGAAAGTTACATCCCAGTCAAATTCATCTTGCGTGTAACCAATAAAGTTCGTTTTCTTTAGTATTTATACAAATGGAAAATCATCCATAGATAAATTACTGATCATTGTCAGTACCATGAGTTGTAGGGTTTGTGTCCAGTTCCCTGCACATGTCTGGGTTGAAAGCTTGAGAAGGATTCCTTTGTGCCTAGCATGTCTTTAGATTTGGCGGGTCATCTAGCTGATGCCTTTTGCCTTGAAGGTTCACCTTGCTCATTGGGGGGGGGGCATATGACCATTGATCCCATTGGAGGACCCTCTACCCTGGCCATTGATTTCATGGTCAGGCCATCAGTAAATGAAATATTTTTCCCCTCCATGCTTTTCTGATGAGGAAAATAGCTAGTCACCAAGCAGGATTGAAAAATAAATAAATAAATAAAAACAGGACCTCTGAAATGGCAGATGAACCTTCCTATAGGGATCAACGGTCACCTAGCACAATGAGGTAGACTGGGCTCCATAGTTATGACAAGGCATTGCTAGGCTTCCAAGACTGAAATTATTCTTAGATTGTTCATTTAATACAAAAATTCAAAACAATAAAGAGCAGATAACTCTTGTTTTATTATAGTGCTAGGCATTTATTCATTAGACAGTTAACATTTACTTCTCTTCAGTAACAATAAAAGAATGTTTTCCAATGTTGTTAATTGCATCTCTGGTTGTTACTTAAAAGTTAAACATTTTCATAATAAAGAATGAATATCATAAAATTTAGAAAAAAATTAAACTTTGATGTTTGTTAAAATAATGTTTAAAGAATTCAAACTGTTAAAAGCAAAGTGTGTAACAAAGTTATAAGCTGCTAAATTTTCAACTTTTTATTCTTTCACTTGAGAGAATTAAAATTGGTTTGTTAGTAAATGTTTCTTCCAACATTTCTTCTTTATTCTTAAAGTGTTAAATTGATTTTCAGATAATAACCAGAGCTGCTATTAACAAAGTATGTATACATTTTTGAGATCCCATATCTAAAGTAAATGTTAATTGTATTTGTTCCCTTTGTTAGGCAATCAGACATTAATGACTGGGACTGTGTTACTAGAGATAAATCTATACTTTTTTTTTCTTTTTCTTTTTTTTTTTTTTTTTTTTTTTTTTTTTTTTTTTTTTTTTTTTTTTTTTTTTCTCTTTTTTTCTTTTTTTCTTTCTTTTTTTCTCTTTTTTTTTTTTTTTTTTTCTTTTTTTCTCTTTTCTTTTTTTTCTTTTAGTTTCAAATAATTAAATATTAAATCCTTTTGCTGATCATTTAAGGACAAGAATTCCTTTGTTTTAAAACTAGAAATTGCTTTGTACATCTGTAATTCTATTTAAAATTTTTATTCTTTTAGTAACCAATACATTGATGTTTATTTTTTTTTTTCATTTAGTTCTATTCTGTACAAATTTAATTGTTGAATATTTTTTCTTTTACTTCTTCTCTGTAAACATTTTACTAATTTTTTCTTTCTTTCTTTCCGCAGACCAAATTACGCCAACAACTGGAGGCAATTGAAAACGATGTGACCATTGATGTAAATGAGAAAGCAACTCGGAAACAGAATTTACTTTTATTGCATAATTTGAATGAGAGCCTCAGTAGTTCTGTGTCTCCCCTTAACAATCCCCCCATGTCAAATATGTCCCCCCATGCACCATCGTTCTATCCCCCTGGTGAAACTGTGGAATCTGTTGTAGGTAAGTCCTCAAATCTCAAAATGAAATTTCTTTAGTGAGAGGAATTTTTTTTTTTTTTTTTTTTTCTCCAGTTACTTCTTCCTTAAAGATTGTCTATGCAAGCATTTAGGATATTCCTCTGAATGCTTTCAAAAGAATCTTTAAAAATAAAACTGTTGGCACCCTGCCCCCATCACAAACCAAAGAAACCACCCATTTTATTAAAAGTATAATGTGCTAATATATTTCTGTTATTAAAGAAATTTAATAGCAAAATATGTTTCTAAAAACAGATTACTGATAAAGTAATTAAGTTTATATATTTTGGCAATGATCTTGCTGACCCTTACTCCAGAATGCAGTGTCATATTACTGGGTAACATGTATCAATTTCAGCTCTTTTAAAATGCTTCACTGGCAAGCTGGAATCATGTTGGGTTTTGAGATAGCAACCGTATGAATCCTGTCACACTTGATAAACAAAAAATAGACATACAATATCTAACCATTTCTCTTTTACTGTTGACATTGGTTTTTCAATATCGTACAATATGGTGACAAGTTGGGTTTGTTTAATCAAATATTAAATAAGTGCTAATCATTTGAGCTGGTGAAGCCATTACATGACAACAAAAGATCACTCATTACCTAAGCCATTTTTGTTTGAGCAAACCACTGCATGTTTTGTTTCTTCATATTAAATTGATTTCTTTGACAACTCTTGTCTTTGCTTTCTCTTGTCTTTGCTTTCTCTTGTCTTTGCTTTCTCTTGTCTTTGCTTTCTCTTGTCTTTGCTTTCTCTTGTCTTTGCTTTCTCTTGTCTTTGCTTTCTCTTGTCTTTGCTTTCTCTTGTCTTTGCTTTCTCTTGTCTTTGCTTTCTCTTTCTTTGCTTTCTTTGTCTTTCTCTTGTCTTTGCTTTCTCTTGTCTTTGCTTTCTCTTGTCTTTGCTTTCTCTTGTCTTTGCTTTCTCTTGTCTTTGCTTTCTCTTGTCTTTGCTTTCTCTTGTCTTTGCTTTCTCTTGTCTTTGCTTTCTCTTGTCTTTGCTTTCTCTTGTCTTTGCTTTCTCTTGTCTTTGCTTTCTCTTGTCTTTGCTTTCTCTTGTCTTTGCTTTCTTCTCTTTCTCAAATTGTAATCAACTTTTTTCTTTTTTGTTTGTTTTCTTTCTTTTTCTTTTTTTGTAGGCAGCGCCCTAGACGACTTGAGTCTTGAAGATTTTGATATTTCTAGTATAGACAAAGAACTTGATCGTGATAATGATTCCAATTCAGTTAGCAGTTCACTTAGTACTGGACTTTCTGCTCCAGGTAAAAAAAAATTTTATTCTTTATCTATTTTCTGTTTTTTATGTTTACTTGGTTGGGCTTCTTTCTGAAATGACCTTTGCTCCCTGGCCATTATTCACTGTTCAGTAGTTTCATTCTGGACAAATCTTGCCCTGCACAAACACTTCAGACCAACCATTCATTTGCAAAAGTTTTCTTTATATAATCCTGATCCACTTTGATTTTAACTATAATTGAATAATTTAGTTTAACTTGTGTTTATTCATGTAGCATGATATGTTGATCATAAAACAATGGTCATTGTAGATTTTACCAGTAAGTAAATATACTGGGCAGAGTAGATAAGAGTAGCAAAACCTCTTCTTGAATATATAAATGATTATCATATTGAAGAAATTTCTAGTGGTCAGTTTAAAATATAATTTATAAGTTAGGTAACACTTTTTAAAATCTTTTTGAGAGGCTGGTACCAAAACAGCACATTCCCTCTTGATCACTCGGAGAACCAATTGATAGCAATTGCCCTTCTTGATTTCCTTAAAGAAATTTGTGTCTGCTCAGTTTGAAATAGAATTTCTAAATCAAGTAACACTGAAATATTTTGTCCTGATTCATTTGGGATTATGTTGATAGCTATCATCAGATACTCTTCTGGGGGTCCCAATTAAAAGTAAATTTATTTATTTAATTTTATTTTTGAAATTATTTCTATCATACCTTTTTTTAAAAAAAAATAAATAGCATTAATGGACAAGATGATTTTCTGGGTGGCTGAAGTAGTTGCATAGTTATTCCAATGAATGTCCAGCTGAATGCGGCACAAGGAACAATAAAAGTTTTTGGCATTGTGCCCAAGCCTGACTTCATAAAATGTCTCATTGGAAGTTATTTTTCATTCATTGTACCTTCGACATTTGTCATGTATTTGAAATGGAATCTAAAGATGATTCATTTTTGAAGATTAATTTAATGAAAGTAAACCTTTTTATTATTATTATTATTATTTGGATGGATAGGGAAGCATGTATACAAATGTGTTTTTGTTTATTTTTAGGTTGCTTTGGTGCAACATCTGTACCCGTGAGTATTCCTCCACGAGGTATCCAGCGTGGCAGCATAGGGAGTCTGTCTCAGTCGCCTACATCCCCTTTTGGGAGCTTCAGTACCACCCCTGCTAGTCTCATCTCACAGCTTCCTATGACCCAGCAACCCAAGACAGCTGTTACTGAACCTCTTGACCAGGTTCTTGTCCTTTCTCTATTATCTGTTTTGCTGAGTGTCTCTATTTTTACTCTCTTTCTTTCTCTTTTTACTCTCTTTCTTTCTCTTTTTACTCTCTTTCTTTCTCTTTTTACTCTCTTTCTTTCTCTTTTTACTCTCTTTCTTTCTCTTTTTACTCTCTTTCTTTCTCTTTTTACTCTCTTTCTTTCTCTTTTTACTCTCTTTCTTTCTCTTTTTACTCTCTTTCTTTCTCTTTTTACTCTCTTTCTTTCTCTTTTTACTCTGTCTTTCATAAATTGTTTTATACAAGAAATCTTTATATCTTGGGTGTTTTTGAAAATGTTAAATCTATTGAATATACGTCTTTCATTTTCTTAAGACTACTTTGTGGATTTTATTTTCATGCATTTGATTAAAAAAAAAATTCAGTTTATTTAATTGGTTATTGTCTCGAGAATGAGGTCCATTGTAAAAAGTTGGTTTCTGGTTAATTTTGATTTTTTTTTTTTTTTTTTTTTTTTTGCCATTGGCAATTTTCAGGGCATAAATTTTTGATACTAGAGAATTTACAGAGGTGCATTGGCAGAATCATTTCCATTTCAAATATATCAAACTGGTACAAGTGTCATTGGCACAAAATCATTTCTGGATTCCATTTTCCACACACACACACACACACACACACGCTCCTCCTCCTCCTCCCCCCCACACACACTCTCTGCAAAAAATAAAATCCTTGTTAAATGTTAATCTTATTCCCCATTTGGACAATTGAACTTCTTGTAACAATTCAGATAGTTTTGGTTTCAAGTTTTGACAGTGGGGGAGTTAAAAAGTTCTCTTGCTTCCCAAATATTGAGGTTTGGAATGGGGTGCTTCTCAGCTGGATCAAGAATTTTCAAATTTTATTCTTTTTGCCATTTGTAGCAAAAAAAAAAAAAAATGGGCACTTTCTTTCTCTTGGATTTTGATGTTGAGAGTTTAATGTCCAATACTTTGGCCAGCATATTTTCCAACCTTCCTTTAAATGAATTTGGTGTAATGTCTTGTTGGCTTTGTTTTACAAATACTTTGGTTTAGTTCTGAGGCTTGTATCCTCTTCCAGTGCCACCTTGAAGTTTACCATTCTTCTAACCTCTCAAATACCTTGCCTCAGTCTGGTGCAGCTTTTTTGCTACATTGGGTCAAGTAAATAAATAAAAATAACCTCTTCCTCTCTCCATCTACTTTTTTTTGTTAATTTTCTTTTATTAGTAACGGATGGTAGCTTAGTGAATTTAGCATTTACTTTGTATTATATTCATAATGTTCAATTTATGATCCAATCTAGGAATGAAATTTTCAATTTCTTTGTATAGTAGCATCAACTTCTGAAATGTGTCTCTTCTTTCCTATATTATCTGCATTGATATCTTTTAGTTTTACCAAATTCTACTTTTTGTCATGTATTTTGTACCTGGTGGTTTTAACTTTTTTTTTTTTTTTACAGAGGGAAAAATTCTTTACTCTTTGGCTATCCTTAACTTAAATTTCAGAAACTCTTTTGATAATTTAAAAAGAAAAAAGGAAGCAAGTTTATTTTCGCCTTTCTTTATTGTAGACTGCTGCTGCATTTCTCAGTCAACCAAATCCTGGTATGTTTGCAGTTCCTGCTTACACAGAGTTGAACTCAATGTCACCGCAGAGTGGGGGTCCTCACTCACCTCTCTATTCTACATCTTATACAAACAGCCAGCCACAAGAGAATCAGCGACTGAGGGAGGAGCTGAATACATTAAAAAGCAATCTCTCTCACTGGGAAGAAGCTTATAGTCAAGCCAAAAGTGTATGTCATAACTTTACTTTCTTTTAGTCAATTCATTCTTATAATTTCAATACTTTGACTGGAATAGATATTTATAAATTTAGGTTTGAACAATGCAGATATAAGCAATATATATGAGAGTGGTGTGCTAAAACCGCCTTCCTTTCCTCTTGTTCAGTTCATCATATTCATTTATGTGCAAGTACCCTTTGCAAAGATATGAATTTCCCCTCTTCTTCTTCTCCCCCTACTATGGGTTAAATTGGTAAGACTTGTATTGTTAAAACCATTATTATCTCAAATAATAAAATTGCGTACAAAATATTTAGATTTCAGCATTAAATAACCAATAGAAGTTGATATTCCACTAAACAAAACAACCAAAAAAATTAAGATTCTATTTGATTGATCTCAAACTCAAGGAATTCAACATTTGGACACCTTATTCAGCACACATCTTCAAAATAGGTTAATAGTTTTATTTATATATATATATATATATATATATATATATATATATATATATATATAATATGGGAAAAGTCAATCTAACATCTTTCACTTTTATTAAAGCATCATCAGAGACTGAGATCTCATTCTCTGATGAAGCTTTATTTATTTAGATAAATGTTTTCTGTTTGTTCTTTATCTTATCATTTTCAGACTCCGATCCATATTTGATCCTAGCTCTGATGGAGATATATATTTATTTTATCAAGCTGTTTCATAAAAGGCAATATTCTAAATGTCGATCTGCTTGTTTAAAGTTTTGAAATCTTTAGGGCATGCATGGGCCATATTATGGGGGTGCTGAAAAGTTTCCAACCTGTTCAAGAAGTCCTTCCCAAAAAAAGCAAAAAAATCTGGGTATTTATTTAAATTTTTGATAGAGCTGAAATGTTTTTGGGTTGAAACACTATCTTGTGTCTGTGTAATACAATGTAACTTTTGTGTGTGTTGTTTTTGTAACCTGATCTCTTCCCCTTAATAATGAGATATTCCTTTGTTATGGTAACAGAAGGCATTATATGATGCCAAGAAGTGGACATGTCTCCTATTATCTTAACAATAAAATATCTTGGTAAGTAGGGGAGATAAGGTTACTAATACATTGCACTTTATTCCTTAATTTTTGAAGGCTATTTTTACTTTTGATGATTTTATAAATAGAAGATTTCTTATATGCTTCATTAGGAAATTGTTTTGATAAAATCCTAAAAATGTAACCAATTTATTTACAAAATTAAAATTATAGCAGTTATTTTTTTAACTGTGTGAACAAGTGTGTTTTTATATATATATATATATATATATATATAATATTGTGGCAAAAGTTTTCTTGTGACAAGTTCTGTCCTTTAGAAATTCATCTCACTAAATTTGTTACACATGCATATGAACAAAGGATACTTGGAATTTTATATAATTATAAAAATTTAGTTTTTAGGCACGCTATATTTATGGTCTAAAATGCTCAATATTAGGGATAGAGCGTATATAAATATAAAAGTTGACGTTGAAGTCAACACCCAATGCAACAGACAGTTTCGGGCTTGAACGCAATCTTCAGGCTATGTGTGTTGTGTTTTAACTCAACTAAGCACTCTCCACAAGATTCTCAACAAAAGCATAGTAGAAATCAGCTACAGTTGCACCGAGAACAAGACAAATAATAAAAATGCACTACAGGAAAACCACCAACAAACCACCCACACAAATCAAACACACATGTAACTGCAGAGCAAAGAGCAAATGTCCCTTAAATGGCAATTGCTTGCAAAAAATTGTAATATACCAAGTTATTGTAAAATCAGTAGATAACAAAAAAATATACATACAAGTAACTGAAGAACCCTGGAAACAAAGAAACTATACACACAAAACATCCTTAAAAATAGTAAATACACGAATAGCACAATGCGTTATAAATGTATATGAGAAATTAAAATCAGAAAGCAAATCAAACCAAAAATATCATGCAAAATAAGAAAATATCCTCAGCCTACAACAATAAGTACCAAAACTCTAAATGCTGGAGGAGAAAATAGTTTCCCAGACCAAACTACTAATTAAACAATCAGAACTCCTCTCAAATGCCGACATGAAAACAAATTTTTGCAGCATTACTTAAAAATAGAAAACTTAAAACAAACAAAAATAAATTAAAAAAAAAAATGAAATAACCCAATTCAGTAAATAATAAACAAATTAACAAACTATGAATGCACACATAAACACAAACATAATAACAATCAACAACAAATAAATGCGCAAAAAAAGTTAACAAACAACACTATAAAAACTACAAGACTGCTTTCAGATCCACAATTATTTCCACTTAACAGCCTCTGGAATAATTTGAAGCCTAAACATTACTACTCACTCAATAATCATTAGAATAATACAATAGAATGTACCAGTGAGCAGCATATATGAACAGTAGACAAAACACAATGCACATGGCCTGAAGATCTAAGCATGAAACACTCATTGGTGGATAACTTCTGTATCGTATGATAAGCAGATAGTATTTATTTTTTTATTGAGACTTGGTTAGTTCCCTGACCAGATTTTTAGGATCAATCATTTGTTTTTATTTGTCTTTTGTGTTTGTTTTTTGTCAAGGCTTGTGAAGCCTGGAAGAAAGAAGGTGAAGAATCAGTCAGAAAAGTTAAACTTGCTGAAGATGAAAAACTTCAAACAACAAAACAAAGGGATGAGGTTTGTTTTGCCTGCAAATTGTTCCAACATTTGTTTTTCTGTTGTGCTCTCCCGCACTCTCATGTCGGTCCGTGTCTCCCTCCCTCACTGTCCTGTCAGTTCACGTCTCTCTCTCTCTCCCCCTGTCACTCTCCCCCTCACTTTCCTGCTGGTCCGCCTCTCTCTCCCTCCCTCCCTCCCTCCCTCCCTCCCTCCCTCCCTCCCCACTTCTTTTTATGGTTTTTATTATTGTTACATTTAGTTTCTGCTTTTGACTTTCTTTTTGCATACACCTTGTAAAACTTATTGAAAGTACAAATGAATTTCATGTTACGCTTTTTTGCTACTTTTTAACTAATATCCTGATAATAATTTTTGCAATAATAATCTTCATAATAATACAGATAATTTTGAATAAAATAGTTGGTTGAAATTTATCAAGTAAATACAAAGTTAATCTTTATTTGCTGAATATATACTGCAAATTTATGAAGTGTTTTTTTTTTTTTTAAATATCAATTTAGTTGAATTGTCTAGATTCCGGTTCCATGCTTTCCAGCCAACTTTAATCTTCAAAAATTTAAACGCGATGACCATTTTTATCTACTGTCCTCCTGATTACTCTTTCCTCTCATTAATATTCTTCCCCACCCAGTAATCTCTTCTGTCTTAGTGGCTTTAATGCCTTGCATGGGGTGATGCTGATAATAATAATAATAATAATAATAAAAAAAGAAAAGAAAAATAACAACTTGGGAAACTTAATGAACATTCTTTTTATATTCTTGACCATCTGAAATGTTTCCATAATTTTTTTTTTTCCTTTTCTTTTTCCCCAGGCTTTGAATCGTGTAAAAACCTTGCAACAGGAATTAGACCAACTTCGAAATGCTTCTTCAATTTCTGGCTACATCCATTGTCTCCAGAGAAGCAAAGACCTTGACTATCTGCCCCTTCAACAACTTCAACAAATACAGCAACAACTTAGACTAGATAAAAAGCATGTAGATGAGGTGAGATGACGAACTTTTTTTTTTTAAATCTCTTGCCTTAGAATAGTTAGTAATTTTTTTTTAATTCCTACAGAATACAATTCTGTGTTTCTTCCCCTCTCTCCCCTCCCCCATAATTCTGAGGAACAAGATTTTTGTATTTGTCAATTCTGGGGGGGAATCTTACTACAGTTTGATTTTTTTTTTTTTTTTTTTTTTTTTTTGAGGGGGTAGGAGAAAATCTCTAAGCACTAATTTATTTGTTTTTTCTTCTTTTTTTTTCTTTTTTCTTTTTCTCCTTTCAGTTGTTGTTCCATTACAATAGCCGGAAATGCATCGTGTGCAAGGAAAGGAATCGGACTGTGACATTAAATGTGTGTAAACACTGTGTCTTGTGTGATCCCTGTGCCATTAAATGCACAGAGTGCCCCTATTGTCACGCCCAGATTCAACGGACTACAACCTCTTGCCTGCAACCATCACACATGTAACCCTCACTGGCATTCTTAGTTGGGATGGGGGGGTGGCGAAGGCATTTTGCCCTTCAACTTGTTGGAATGAAAAGACGTGATCAGAAAATAACCAACAAAAAAAAATTTACAAAAAAAAACAAAACTTTGTAGTAGTGATATTTTTCAAATTTAAAAAAACAAAATTTTTTTTATTCATTTTTTTTTTTTTTTTTTTTTTTTCTGGCAAAGCATTTAATGTCAGGACACCAAAATTTTAGCCTGTGTTCAGATTTAAAAGAAAAAAATGTAAAAAAAAAAAAAAAAAATTTATATAGCTCTTATTTATCTTAACAAATGTTTATCAATGAAACTAGGTTTTTAAAAAATTTTTCTCTCTCTCTCTACCCCCCTCTCTAATCCCTACCCACTGAACTACAGTTTTCTTTTCTGTTTTTTTCCCACACCCTGCTTTTCCTTTTTTTTTTCTTTGCATCTCCCCACCCTGCTGCTTTCCCCAGACCCACACCTTCCTATCATTTCACAATCTTTTCTCTCCTTACTTGCTCCCTTTTATCTATTCCTCTTTTTGACAGCCTTCCTCTCTACATATCTCTCTACTCCTATGTTACTAGTTTTCCCTTATTGCTTGCCTTCTCTCCCACTAATTCGTCTTTCTCTACACTTAATTCTCTCTTATTATGGTTCTAACTTAAAAAGGCAAAAATTTTGTCTTCACTATTTATTTTTTTTTTATCATTTTTTTATTTTTTTTAATACATTACACATGCAAAACAAAAAAGTGAACTATTTTAAAAACTAAAAACATTTTAGTTTTTTTTTGTGGCTGAGAAATATTGAAGAACTAGCTTTCCTGGAAGCACTGCTGCTTAGTCCTCACCCTCATTCTATCACCCACCTCAATTCATATGGCCTCCAATCAGCAAAAAAAAAGTCTATTTAAAAGGTTTCTCTTTTCTCTTTCACACCCCAAAATACCTAATTTGGCAATAATACTGGTTTGAAAAGTTTCTCTTTCACAAATATTTTAATACATCATTATTTGTAACAAAGCATTTGATCCAACAAAGCTGAAGAGATTATTTTGTTTGTTTTTTAATGAAGAGGAGGAACCTACCTTTCTTTTCTTTCCATTTGATCTGCTCAATTTCCCAAAGCAATCATTTTGCTAAAATTATTACAAATGGAGTTGCTTCTACTGCTGAAAGTTGCCTGACTTGTTAATGATTATCAGAATTCTGAATAGAATTCTAGTTTTAAAAAGTTATCTGATTCACTCGGAAATTGCTGCGAGGGTTAGGATCTTAACATTTGGCAACCTTGCCTTTGATTTTGAATCTATGCTTGTAAAATCATTTTTTATCCTTAGGGCAAAATTACTTTCGGTTTTTTTGTTTTTTATATATATATATATATATATATATATATATATAAATTTATTGCATGAGAAAATATTTTTCTTTTACTCTCACCCAAGAAGTTTTAATAATTTTTTTTCTCAAATATTTCAAAAAAAAAAAAAATGTATTGCCACATTGATGGAATGCCGTTTGAGGACTTACTATCAATCGCTTGCAAGCGTTTCTAAATTGCTAGCTTCTCCACTATGACAGGTGCTCTTCTTTCCCCTCAAGTAATAGGGAGGTTAATGTAAATTTAATTGATCTTGGCCTCTTCAATCTATTAGGCTGAGCTTTGTAGAGATGGGTCTTCCTGTAGATTTTAGGCTGATGATGAATTTAAGTTTCAACTGATATAAGCAGCAATCATTTTCAATAAGAGATTGACTGCTTAGAAGAATTCTTTCCACATTTAAACTTTTTAGTTTCAAGAAATTACTAATGGACCTTTTAATAAAATCTGACATTGTTAAAAAAACGCATGTTCACTAATCATAGGATATGGGATAAACTTTTTTTCATTTTTGCATAATTGCCTAACGAATTTGTTATCAAAAATGGGGAGAGTTTAAAAGCCAAAGAGTTGTCTGAAATCATGAGAAAGTAATTTTTTTCTTTTTTGGCTTTCTCATATACTTACTTGAACATTTGGTTCAGATTTTTAACTCTCAATCTAATTTATTTTCTTTAGCAAAGAAACTTAGTTGAACCAACGTTTGATTCATTTTGTCTTCAAAACGAAATTTTGTTTACTAAAGAAAAATTATTCTTTAATGTTTCACGTAAATTTATAATAATGTGTTATGCATTTCTGATAAAAAAAAAAGAAAAAATCCAAAGAAAACTATGAGATCTTCTATTATGATAACAAGGTATATTTACTTAATAGAACAAAGAAAATTTATGCTGCATGGTCAATTTGTATGCCTTTTTTTTTTTTTTTTTATACAGAAGCAAAACTTTGGGGTTTGTTTTTTTTTTTTTTATCTTATTCACTTTCTGAGCTTTCTAAAGTTGTCTGAAATTCTCAGAGATGAAGTATCATTACCATTCTTCTTTGAATTATTTGGACTTGTATCCTTTTTTTTTTTCTTTTTTTTTTTTTTTTTTTTTTTTTTTTTTTATTTTGTCTGGTGTGCTTTGGATCATCCGTCTGTTACATTTTTTAGGCTTGTCTTTCAATTGTATTGCCTCTGTGAAATACTTGATCCAGGAATCAGACACATTTAGATTAAATGGTGAGATTTTGAAAACTGTGCTTGTTGTTACTTGAGGATTTCCAAGTGCAGCCTGCATCTCCTCTGGGGATAAGCCAAAGGACATAGTAGCCAAAACATTGGGATCAAAGCAAGAAGAACGAGGAAACTAGTTTGTCAATCATTCTCTATTTTGTTGAAGAAGATAATTAAATTTTTATTTTTCATCTAAATAGCTTCTTACTCTTAAATATTTTTGGCTATATTTTCACCCATTTTATTAATTTCTACTGGCATTAATTAATTATTAATACAGTGGTAAGATCAGTGGATTTGAATTCAAGATGTTTCAACATATCCTAAATGCTAATATGCATATAAAATGTGTGTGTAAGAGAGAGATTTTTTCTTATTTTATACAAAGCATACACGTAGAATTGCAAATCTCTATATATTTTATTTATCTTCAATTTTTTGTGGTATAATAGTATTTAATAAAATACTTAAATCTCTCCTCCCACTAACATCACTCACTCTCACACACACTGTGTGTACACGCCAAGGAAAAAACAAAAAAATTTCCCACCTAATATAGTTTTTTCCTCTCTCTCTCTCTCTCTCTCTTTTCTCAAATCTCCTGACTTAACTGTCTGTGGTTCATGTTTCTGTGTATTGAAAGGAACTGATTTTTTTGAGTCTGATTTTTGCCTTTCACATTCACTAAAAACAAAAATAAAATGATTTCTTACACCTCAACCCCACCATCCACATTTTGGTTCAAATCTTGTAACTGGTTTGTTTTCACTCCCCAATTCTCATTTTCACTCTGCTAATCAACTGCCATAGTCACCCCCTCTCCACTGGTCTACATTATCTCTGGTCATAATACTTGAGGTCCATATTGCTTGAATATGCCACCCCCCCCATTTTTTTTTTTTTTTTGAGACATCAAAGTTCATTACTCTCAAATGTCTTTGTACTGAATGAATGTGCTTTTTTGTGAGTCTTAGAAGTTCAGATCAAAATTAATTCTCACCTGCATCAGTAAAGCTTGAATATTTCACCACCACTAAATCAATCAATCAATCTCTCTCACACACACACACACACACACTCATATATGCAAATGTTGGACCTGATCTTGAGATTAAAATCTGTCATTTTGATATTCTGGGCATAAATTTGCTGAAGCGATGGTTAATAAGGTTGTCTAGCAAGCCATTGTGGGTGCATAGCCAAGTGGTTAAAATATTTGCATTCTGACAATGAGACCTAGATTTGAATCTGAACCTTTGTCAATTTGTCAGAGAGGTGACTCTTCTTGATAATGTCAGTTTTGGGGAAAAGATCCTGTGACGCTGTTGGGAAGTGCCTGTAAACCACAACACAAGCTGACCTAAGCCTTGGGGGTGAAATTGGGTAGACAACTGTTCAAAAGCCATTGATGGCTGTGATGACATGAAGTCACAAGACATTTTGTGATCACATCAGATTATGCCTTCTCTTCCAGAGACTTTAACTAAGGTCTACTCAGCATAGGTATTGAAGAAATACATTGCCTGAGCAGGCATCTGTAACTGGGATTAACTAACAAACTATTCCAACATTACATTTCAGTGGGTTGAATCTTCATAGGAGCCCAAATTCATGGCCTTCTACCAGGTTTAGAAAATATTGGTATTTTTATTCAATAATTTTTACGGGAAAAACTTTGGCAGACTACAAAATCTCACAAGGCTTAGAGATTTGGCTTTTAAAGATTTTTGCATTGAGGGGGTGGGGGGTTCAGATGTGGATATTAGTAAGTGCCAAATCTTGAAAAATAAATTCTTTGGTTGGGGGGTTGATTGCAATTTGGGTGGGTGTCTTATCTTTAATATAAAAACAATATGATTTTATCAGTCATGCAACCTGATCTGATTGTACAAATGAAATATTGCATTGTTATGGTAAAAGAAAGCATTACCTAATTCCAATAAGCAAATATGCCTTGTTACCATAACAATGGAAGATCACATAGTTTTCTTTGAATATTTTGCTTTTAATGATTTAAAATGCAGAATTATTTCTTACCTGCAACAATCAAAGTTGTTAATTGTAGAGATAAAAGTTCAAGATTCTTCATCCAGAAAATATAACCAGTGTAATTGAAAAATTGCTTACAAATTGCTTTCTTTTTTTTTCTTTTCTATTAAGGCTTTGAAAACTTAACATCAGTATTTTTGTTCTGCTTCATCAGCCTCTTTTAAAAAAATGTTTTTGTTTCTTGTAAAGCAAGGCAATGTACTTTGTGATTTTTCTTAAAAGCCACCAGCCATTGTTCTTGATTTCCTGCTACAGAATTTTTTAGCCTCTTTATTTGAATATTATTTTATATACAATTTTTGACCAAGGGCCTCGTTTCTCTCAACCAACTTTTGTGTCTCTTTGTGTGTGTGACACACAGGGTGACTGTTTTTTGCGTTGGTTATTAGGATTTTCTAAATCCAGATTACAAACAATAGAAAATGAAAATTTGTCAATAAAATTATTTAATTAAAGATAAGAATACACACTGTGCTGGCGATTACTGAACCTAATTATTATCACTACTACTACTACTACTACTACAGTCAGCATTGTATAAAAGAAAAAAAAGGATGGGCATAGTTCAATATTGATGGGGAGGGGGTAAGTTTTTGTTTTTTCTTTCTTTCTTCTGCAATTTACAATTTTGATTCAAAAGAAACATTTATTGTCACTACTGCATTAGGAGATTCTCTACAGTAGGACATTTGAATAAATCCCACCATTGGCTTTAGTTTTAGTCACTCTTTCAGATTTAATGAATGTGAATCTCTGTATGTTGAAATTAGGGCACTAATGTCAGGTTCTTAAATAAAATACGTCCTAAAATTCTGCCGTATAACCAACATCTTAGTCTTAAACACCCCCATCCCACTTCCCCACCCACTTACTTGTTCACTTATGCACAAAGAACTCCCTAAGTGTCTACCACTTTTTTTTTTTTTTTTCTCCAACAGATCAACTCGGACATAGAATAACAACACATAGAATCTCATTTGTGACTGTTGATTGCCTTTACAG